GTCGGCAGTGCAGTGCCGATCCATGAACTATCCCCATGAGCATGTGTGCGCCCATGAGGAACCCTGGTAGCCATGCTAGCCATTAACCAGGGCCACCCCGCAAGGGATGATGGTCTAGGAGTGCCAAGGTTAGGCACCCAAGGAGGTCGACCACCCCTCCTCAAAGAGTACGTTAAGCTTTTGGTGGTCTGCCTGAAGATAACATCACTTTTCCCAAAAATCTTACAGGCAAAAATGATGATGGTGTCCCTTAACATAAGCCCGCCAAGCATAGGCAAGGCTAAGCCTGTGTCAGACCGTGACACTAAGGCATCCTTTCATCCACATCTCCACTGCTCCCTTAACCTGATTCTCCCCATAATTTCCAAAAGAAAAGACCAGTCCACAAGGTCATAAGCCTTCTCTAAATCTAACTTGCACACCAAGTCCCTCCCTCTCCTCTTCTTTGCTACACATTCATTTGCTACCCATACCTGGTTGGTGATTTGTCTTCCTTCAACAAAGGCACCTTGATGTTGTGAGATGACCAAAGGTGATACCTTTTTTAGTCTCCCAGCTAAGACTTTTGTTGTAAACTTGTAGAGGCTTCCCACTAGGCTTATTGGTTTGAAATCCTTTGGAATTTTTGCTTCCTTATTCTTGGGAATTAGGGCAATGAAAGTTGAGTTTATACCTTGAGAAATCTCCCCTTCAACATAGAAATCATTGAACACTTCCAACAAATCTCTTTTGATGAGATCCCAACACTCCTGGTAAAAAGCTAAAGAGAAACCATCCGCTCTAGGGGCTTTAGACCTTTCCATTGAGAAAACCACCTCTCTGACTTCTATAGAAAACTCCACCTCTAAGGCTGCAGCCATAAGCTTCAGGCACTCTATTTTTTTTTTTTTGGTTTTTGAAGAGTCAATAAAAAATTCAGACAAGGTTCCAAATACATCAAGTACATACTTCTAGTACATGCTCAAAATATTAAACTGAAAAGGCTTCTACATTACAAGGCTGTAAGTCAAGGGAATTCCAGAAATTTTCCAATAAATCAGCTTTGGAGACTTGATCAAAATCTGGGAGACCAAGAACCCACTCTGATATCAGATTGGACAGTGTAGCTACCATGTATTTTATATTGTTTGACCTGTTCTCGAAAACTCTTCTGTTTCTCTCCCTCCAAATAGACCAACATACTGCAAAAGGAACACAACTCCACACATCCCAAATAGAAAAGAGAAGAAACTCCATATGAAGCTTGCTATGCTGCATGAGAAGAAGAAATGGAAGACTGTTTCTTCCTCCTGATTGCACAAATAGCACCAACTAGCCAGATGAAATCCCCTAGAGGTGAGGATACTATCATGTGCTACCAACCAGGCAAAAGCTTCTACCCTAGGGGGTATTGGATTCCCCCATACTCCTTTTATCTGATCTAGACCCCTTTCTTCTTTAATTAATGCTTTGTAGAATGACTTGACTGTGAATCTGCCTTCCTTGCATTCTTTCCACCAGAGACCATCTTCTATATCTCTAGAAATGCTGTTTCCTTCTACCTTTTCCAGCAGTAGTATACACTCTTCCACTTCTTGGTCTAATAGAGGCCTTCTGAACTTCGGATTCAAAATCAATTGCTCCCCTCTCCACTCATAACATTGGGCTATCGAGACTTGTTGTTCTGTTAACTTGTATAGTCTTGGACACACCACACTAGCTTTAGGCACTCTATTCCATTGAACAGCTAGTAGGAAATGTCTCCTCTCCCCTTGACTCTAGTAGACATTCTTAAAGTGATCCACAAAAACTCTGATAATCTCCTGCTCCCTAGTTATCTCAAGGCCATCCACTTCTAGCCTAGCAATTTGATTCTATCTTCTTCTCCCATTGGCTAGCGAGTGAAAAAACTTTGTATTGCCACCCCCCTCTAACAGCCACTTGCATCTAGATTTCTTCCTCCAAGAAATCTGTTCCTTCCTAAGGACTTTTTCTAACTCACATTTTAACTTTCATCTTTCCTCTCTTTCCTTACTGTTCATAGTTCTAAGAGCTTCTTTCTTATCTAGCTCCTCAATCCTTGAAATAATTTCTTCTTTGATTTCCTCCACTTTACCAAAAGTATCCTTGTTCCACGCCTTTATTTTCTCCTTTAAACCCTTAAGCTTCCTCAAGAAGTTAACCCCTTTCTTCAAGCCTCTACCCCCTACCTCTTGCCACCAACGTTTAACCTTTTCTACAAAGGTAGGGTCTTCCAGCCACATGTTTCCAAACCTAAATGGTGTTATGGTGTGTTTGGTAAGAAAGAAACAATCGCCTTTTTGAAAACAAAACCAGCTCATTTGAAGATTTACTCTCCCACATTACTTTCTTGGGCAATCTATGGGCCTCTTTTTCTACAGAGCTCAAAGGCTTATCTCTGAATGATTTGCAAAGAAGTTTGGGGGAAATTCTATTCTCCTCACCAGGATCTTCTAGCAGGTCAATTGTTGTTCCTATAAAGTTGATACCAGAGCTGGCTCTAAATTTTGATGGCAGTGCTTTGGGAAACCCTGGATTGGCAAAGTTTTTAGAGGAAGGGAGGAATGCATTAAGTGGGCAATTAGTGGCCCAATCAGGGTTGCTGATTCATCAAAAGCAGAAATCCTAGCTGCACTCACCGGTCTTTGAATTGCTAAAGAAAAGGGCTGGTTTGTTCTAACTCTAAAAGGAGACTCTGCAAACACAATAAGATGGTTAGGGGAGGAGGAGGCAGGCCCTTGGAGACTAGCACATTACCTGTCCAAGGCCAGAGACATTTTGAACACCTTAATTGTAAATTTAATCTGGACTCCCAGAGAACTAAATACTACAGCTGATGGTTTAGCTAAATCAGGTACTTTTAGGGAAAATCTGTACAGTGAAAGAAATCTGCCTTCGTAATTTCTTTTTGCTGGTTTTGTTGTAGTATGTACATCTCCTCATGTACCTTTCCTTTTATTAATACAATCTATTCTGGGCACAATTGTAAGAAAGGGGTGCTGTCTAGGGAAGAGATAAGTCCTTTTATCTCTCATTGTCTTTATATGTACATTTGTTCATTATACCATTCCATTTTCCTAATCTTAATGAAGGTTTATAGTCATTGATCAAATAAAAGGCTACTCACAATTGTATGGAGTAGACTATACAAAAACTTTCTCTCCTGTTGCCAAAATTGGACCAATCCAGGTTCTGATATCTTTAGCAGCAATGTATGACTAGCCTTTATTTCAGCTTGACGTCAAGAATAACTTCTTACACGGTAATCTTCTTAAGGAGGTTTATATGGAGCAACCATCAAGGATTGTTGCATAAGGGGAGGATGGTAAAGTGTGTAGACTCAAGAAGGCAATCTATGGGTTGAAACTGTCTCCCCGTGCTTGGTTTGGCAAATTCAGTGAACAAGTAAAAGACTTTGGTATGAAACAGTATCAAGTTGACCACTCAGTATTCAACTATGAGACTGAAGTTGGGAAAATTTTGTTGGTGGTATATGTAGATGATATTGTTATAACTTGTAGTGATAGTATGGGGATTGATGGATTGAAGGCATCTCTACATGATAGAGGGAATCTTGAGGTAGAAGGTTACATAGATGTTGATTGGGTTGGCTCAATATTTGACAAAAGATCCACTATAGGGTATAATACCTTTCTTGGAAGGAATCTGGTGACATGAAAGAGTAAGAAACAGACTATAGTAGCAAGGAGCAGTGTTGAAGCTGAATACAGAGCCATGGCACACATTGCATGTGAATTACTGTGGTTGAAGAATCTCTTACAGGAGATGGGGTCCTCAGTTGACAGCCCCACGATGTTATACTATGACAACGCAGTCCACATCTCATTTAATCTAGTTTTCCATGAGAGAACAAAGCACATAGAGGTTGATTCACACTTTGTAAGAGAAAAGGAGTTTAGTGGAATCAAGGAAGAGTGGGTTACATATGTAACAAACTGGGGTTATATGACATATTACATATCACTAGCTTGAGGGGGAGTTTTAGAGTCAGTAGTCATGAGGGAATTTTAGTCTTTATGTTTTGTTATTAATAGTTGCTTTGTCTCTTTTATCTTAGTTTATATATCTCAAACTTAATTAGGGACATAAAAGTCTTGTACCTTAAAAGTTCAAAACATATAAATAAAAAGGTGGTTGGCTGGAGAGTGATTTTTTTCTCTCCAGCCGTTTCTCTCTATTCTCTTCTCCTTCTCTTTCTCTTGTTGTCTATTCTTTCTCTCTTATTTCTGACCTAGAACTGAACCAGTGCTAACTAAACCATTAACAGAGGAGAACCAACCCAAACATCCTCCCAGAACCTTATTGAGTCTCCAGAATAAATGTCATACCTAATAAAGTTGAGAAACTGATGGAGAAAACCATGAATAGCCTTCCACAGTGATGCAAGAGTCGCCCGATAAGATACACCTGCATCCCAACCATTGACCAACCTATCATGAATACTAGCCACAACCTTATGCCACAATTTCTCTGTCTCTAACGACCATCTCTATAACCATTTCCCTAGTAGGGCCATATTCTTCTTATATCAGTAATTTCACATCATTTGAATCAAATCCTTAAATAAATACATTGACAATTAGACTCTTTGTATCCACTTTTTCATCCCCTCCACAATGCATCCTGTTAACAAATACAGATGTAACCAAGGATGCTGAAACAAGCAATTAAGGTCAACCTGCCCCAGGTCCTTCAAGTAGATCTCCAAGGTTCAGGGTGATAATTCAACATCAAGAATTTTTTATAGTATTAATGATGATTTTGATTAGTCTAATATGCTGGATAGCATCAAAGATTGGAGAAAATTAGAACAAATCAGTTCTAAAGTCATTTTTTTCAAAACAACCATCAGCCAAAAATTTAAGATGCAAAGGTTCCATGAGTCAAACAGAACAAAATGAATCACAGAATCCAAGAAATATGAAAGAAAAGTAAATAGGAAATTGAAAAATATAAATCATGGATATTCTGATCAATACCTTTAGAAAAACTTGTGTTGCTCGAACAAGTGCAAAGTTTGCCATCTCTCTTCCCCCTTTAGTTTCCATAAGTTCCACATACCGCATCCAGAATTCAGGGTAATTAGCACAGGGAATTAAGCATCTCTCATAAAGTTTTACAGTCTGTCATTAACAAAAGAGTCATTTTAGATACTAACAAGCAACAACCAGAGGTCCAACCAAATACAACATTGAGGAATCAATCTATACCCAGTCAAAATCTCCTTGCATCTCCACAAAGTCGAGATAGTGATGCCAATTTTCCAACTGATTGGCATCAAGTGGCTTTACATGAAAATAAGGCCTCCGGATTTGACTTTCAAAGCAATGGATCTTTGCATCCAATTTTCTTGCTTTCTGATAGAACCATTCTCCAGCCAATAAATATTTCTGCAGTCCTTTAAAATTATGCAAGCCAATTGCTGGTTTGAAGATGTCTTTGATGGCACCCAAGATTTCCTTCTCTTGATAAGATGCAGCTTCTCTAGTTTCACAATTAAGTACAACCTCCGATTGTTCTTTTTTGGCACTCTTATTCTGACATTCTATCTCATCTTTCCAAATGGCAGCCAATTTCTTAAAACTGAGAGTTTGTGAGAGAGGCATCTAATAAGTAATATTGTACAAAAAGTGGAATTTATGAGGATAACAACATTAGTAGAACAAAATAAGATTTTATTTATAGTAAGAGAGAGAGAGAGAGAGGGAGGGAGAGAGAGAGAGAGAGGGAGGGAGAGAGAGAGAGAGGGAGAGAGAGAGAAAGAGAGAGAATTGACAACAATGATAAAGAACAATAAATGAGCACCTGGACTGAGTACTTTAACGTTTAAAAGAGAAAAATAAGTATGTGATGCTGGTTAAATAACACGTTCCAAACACATCCATAACTTTTCCTGCTCCCACAATTAGTAATCCACTTAATGAATTACAAATGTTTAGTGAAGTTGCAGGATTACAATCCTAGTTAAAGGTTCAAATCTGTCAAGTAGAGCAATACATTCAATTGACATGAATTAAAGAATGGTGAATGATGTACATAGCAAGCATGATGCAGTAGGGCTGGAACAAACTATCACAAGACAGAAAGAGAGTGAGAGAGTGTAGAGGAAGATAAAAGAGAGAGAAATCCTAAGGAATCACTCTAGGATTTGTAGGAATAACTCCATACAGCAAACTTGCAAGATAGCTCTAAATAAATCTTCATTCATTCATTATCTTCAAAAGGAAGAGAATAAATCTATTTATAGAGTGACATGTGTGGCCCGGAACACTGTTCACCACAATTACAAAAATGCCACTCCTTGTCTTGTGCATCAAGAAACATAATAACTTTCTATCTATTAATGCAAATAAACTGAAAATTGAAAAACAAGCCCTACTAAACTAGAGGAACAAGATGTTATAGCCCAGGCCCACATGGGACTAGTTAAAATGACAAAAATACCCATACTGTCCAAATATACAAAAATACAGAAAATTTCAGAAAATTCCAAATTTGATTCTTCATCTCCTACATTAAAGCACCCTTCATATTACAATATTTATTGCCCCACTGTAAACGTTGTTTTTGACTTTCTATTTACATGTTTCCTCATTGAAAAACCACTCCCCGCCCCAATAAAATTGAATTCTGTCCACACCTTGTCTTGCCAATATTTTAAAATCAACAATACTGTTGATTGATCTTTGTGGAGACTTTGTAACTTGATGTATCTTATTAGCATAGTCCCTGTTGTATTTTACTTATACATCTTATTCTTCTTTTCTATTTCAGCCCTATATGGGCATTCTTGTAATTGTACATATCTTTTAATATATAAGAGACTCTTTGAGGTGGGGGTCAATTATTCTTAACACCTCTAAGATTATTCTTTTTCTTTTCTCTATTCAGCCAAGAGTGTTGACATGGTATCAGAGCAGGTTGTTCTCTGATCTATTTTATCTCCCTTGAACCTCACTATAAGCGGTAATCCTGTTGTATTAAGGCTGTTTTGATCAACCCTTTTCTGTTCATTCTTCTTTGTGCAACCAGCAGGAGAGATTTCATTATATCTCTTTTGGGAGACATTGGTTCAAGGCCAAACTTCAGATCTGGTGTCGCCTAGACCTGATCTATTCTCCCTACAAACAACATCTGATTTGGTGAAGTTTTCGAAAGAGTTCTGATCTTCTTCTTGGGGCGGCAACACTATACAGTTTCCTTTTTTGGACTGCAATATTTTTGGACTTCAGGCCTTCTACATCAGCCTATGATTTGAGTTTTTCTCTCCAGATTGAAGGGTTCTCTCAAGCTTTTCTTAACCCTACACTCAGTTTCTGGTTTGGAGATTTCTAAGGACTGTTTCGATCAGCACAAGATACTTCCTTGTTCTTGAAAAAGACACCTGATGTGTTGGTAAATCATAGTTTTCTCTCAATCGGCTGACTCGATCAACTTATAACCATAGATATGGTGTCGTCCTAGGGTTTTCTTGCTTCCCATTTATTTGATTCAGACTTCAGATTCATATTTGAAAGGTTTTAGACTCGACTCTTAAAAACTTGCCTTTTTTTTGGACTGTCATGTTGAGTTCTTGATTGCTGAATTTGGTTGTCTCTGATATCCTTGTGGCTGGACTGTTGTTTTCTTGCTGAAATGGCCTCCGATAGAGACAATATTACTCCTATAAAACTGGAAGGATCAACCTATGGAATTGACAATGCTGTTGTAGCACATGGGAATAAGAAATCTACTACCAATGGTGATTCTTTTGTTAAAGGTGATTCTCTGGCATCTATGGTTGAGGAAAACATTCGACAACTGGTATCATTTGCTATTTCTTTTGCTCTTTCTGCCATCGGCTTACCTGCTGAGTTTTCCTGTTATTGTGCTTCTCCTTCTCATATTTGGATCATTGACTCTGGAGCTACCAACCAAGCAACCTTACTAAAACCCATCACAAACATATTGTTACTGCCAATGGTGAAAAGTTAAACATCATTGGTAGTAGTGATCTGTCTCTTAAGCTTTCACCCACTACATCTTTCCCTCTTACCAAGACCCTTCTTGTTCCTAACCTCACTACAAATTTGACTTCTGTTGACCAATTAATTGATGAAGGCAACATTCTCATCTTCTCTCAGGATGGATGCATGATTCGGGACCGGAACATTGGAAAGGTGAAAGGGAAGGGGCGTAGGTTGGGCCGTCTATTTGCATTGGAGTTCGAGAAGTCTCAAATAGCAACATCATCAGCCTATTTCAGTTCCTCCACTTCTAGTTCCATTCTGAGTCATAGAAATAATGTCTGGCACTTATGGCATAAACGTTTGGGTCATTTACATGCTGAAAAATTAAAATTTTTGTTTGATTCAGGCCTTATTAAGAATAGAGTTCCTTCCTTGCACACCTTTGATACTTTTTGTGTTTCATGTTGCTTAAGTAAGAATCATATCTTACCATTTCCTCACATATCTAAGCATGTTACCTCTCCCTTCGAGCTTATACATAGTGACGTCTGGACTGCAACTATCACTTATCGGCTTGGATACAAATATTCTGTGTCGTTCATTGATGATTGTACTAGGTACACATGGATATACTTTCTTCGCCACAAGTCTGAGGTGTTCCCAACATTTAAGTTGTTTCATACTATGGTATGGGTTTGGCTTCAATCACACGTGTGTATACTCTACTCGAATTCAGGGGGAGAATACACTCATGGAGATTTTTATCCTATTTGAAGAATCATGGAATACAAGTGCAATGAAGTTGTCCAGATACTCCTCAGTAGAATGGTGTGGTCGAGAGCAAGAATGGACATATCCTTAGTGTTGTGAGGACATTATTGCAGGAGTCCCATACTCCAGCTTCTTTTTGGGTAGAGGCAGCCAGTACAATTGTGTTTTCGATCAACTATATTCCTTTCTTTATTCTTGGCAATATGTCTCCCTTACAGAAATCCTTTATTCTTGGTAATATGTCTCTCTAGATTTATCTACGCTTCATGTTTTTGGATGTGTGCTTTGTTCATCTACCCTCTCGTGAACGCTCTAAATTGTCTGCATAGTCTGCCATGTGTGCCTTTGTGGGTTACAGTCCTGATCACAAAGGATTTCTTTGTTATGATCCCTCTATTCGTCGCATTTGTATATCACATAATGTTGTTTTTCTTGAGCACATTTCATTTTTTGTTGGAATTGCTAAACTGTTTGTACCGTCTGTTTCTGTTTTGCCAAACTTTGATTCACAAGATGCTCCACCTCCTTCTACTGAGAAGGACCTTCTCGTCTTCTCTCGCATGCGGTTATGTGCTCCAGCCCCTGCGTCTTCGACTCTCCTTCCCCCTGTTTCAGATCATCATCTTACCACCGCTCCTGTAAGTGATACCTCTACTTCAGACACTCTACATACTTCTGTTCCTCTTCGTCGTTCTACTCGTACGTCTAGACCTCCTGACTGCTATGGTTTTCCTTTAAACCATAGCTCTTTGCCTGCTGTCCTATCCTCCACAAATGTCCCTCGCTCCTACCAGGAAGCTAATAATAGCCCTCATTGGAAAGAAGCCATGGATGTAGAGATTCATGCTTTACACGAGAATGACACTTGGGACCTTGTGCCTGCTCCTCGAGATGCATCCATTGTTGGGAGTTGTTGGGTTTACAACATCAAGCTGAAATCTGATGGATCTCTTGATCGATACAAGGCACATTTAGTTGCTTAGGGATATAGTCAAGAGTATGGTATATCGACTATGAAGAAACCTTTGCTCCTATTGCGAAGATCACCACAGTCCATGTTCCTTTAGTAGTGTTTGCCACTCAGTCTTGGACCATATGCCAACTTGATGTGAAGAATGCCTTTCTTCATGGTCAGTTGAAGGAGATGGTCTACATGAAGCCTCTTCTTGGATACTGCAAAGATCCTTCTTTAGTATGTCGTCTCAAAAAATCTCTATTTGGTCTAAAACAAGCTCCCAGCCATGGTTTGAACGTTTTCACAATGTTGTAATTGTTGTTGGATATAGCCAGAGTTCTTTTGATCACTCTCTCTTCGTTAGGCATCGGCCTCAGGGTATTACCATTTTCCTACTATATGTTCATGACATGTTGACTGGGAATGACGCTGAGGGCATTCATGAATTGAAACTATTACTTCATAATTCCTCTCACATGAAGGATTTGGGCCCTCTCACCTATTTCCTAGGACTGGAAGTACATCGTAGTGATAAAGGGTATTTTGTTTGTCAGCAGAAGTATGCCTCTGACCTTGTTAAACTTGTTGGTCTTAATGATGAAAAGCATGTGGATACACCTATGGAGCTAAATCCTAAGCTGTCTAAATCTGAAGGTCCATTACTTCCCGGTGCTACCTTGTATCGCCAGCTTGTGGGGTCCCTCATTTATCTCACTATGACCCGGCTTGATATTTCTCACGCTATTTAGATTGTTAGTCAATTTGTTTCTGCTCCTCGTCAACCTCATATGACTCTTGTTCATCGCATCATTTGATATGTTAGAAGCACAACTTCTCGGGGACTGTTCTTCTCCTCCTCTCCTATTCAGTTGAGAGCATATGTTGATGCGGATTGGGCTAGTTGTCTA